ATAATAAGTATAGCGATAAATTAAGGTCAAGATAATAATTGCCAGATCAGCTGGTTTATTGCAGCACAGCTGTTTGTGGCGGAGGCCCGACCATCACGTGATCATTCTTATCTCATATCTGTATCACGTGCTAACACGCCTCCACCACGTGGGTGTGTACACTGTACAGCTTTCTTCGTCCGCTTATCTACAGATTTCACTATAAATTTGTCTAATCCCTGCAATAGTTGGAGATAAAATAATTGCTAGTTACAGAATAATTTATTACATTGTGTTCTACCAGAACTAGCTAGGGTAATGTCATTGACGGTGGCCATTGAATATAGTTTTTAGAGCAATTTAAAAAAAAACAGACGTCAAAGTTAGAACTAGGCACAATTTATCTGTATAAATTAGCATTAGCTATAAAACGGGCAAAATTCCGCTCTACTATCACAAACAAGTCTACATAGGGTAAACAGGCCTAGAGAAAACAGAAGGATATTGTCTACCCTCCTAAAGGGGTAGCCCCCCTTTGACAAGGTCCTAGAACCACCACTGTCCAGAGTCAGCTGGGTCCTGTTTCGAACCATTAAACATATTTTTACCTAGTGTCGAACAAACTGATTGCAAGGAGAGATATCTCCACTCAACTTCTTCGGATAAAATGTTAAGATCTAAAGCGATATCGATTAAGAGTCTAGTTACTATTGCAGGATATAAAATATGCAGTAGAAGTCTCCCTAGGAGGATTTACGGGAAGACAAGACATGTACCGCGCTGCGCTGCTGCACAGTCACAGCCAGCGCCAGACGCGTGGCGGAGGTGTGTGGACTGTGACAGCCACCGCAAGGTCGTTATCACCACTCGGTCACGTGGCTAGGTAGAATTTTACTTGTTACGCATATATATCTGGGAATAGCAAACAGCCAGAGGCCGGGCCAAACACGCCCTTGCAAATCCTCCACTGTTCAACAAGGACAACACAAATCCTTCGTTGTTCACGATAATCCACCTAGTGCAGGGACAGTACCTGTTGAAAAACTTGTTAGAGGGTTGGGGATTCTCAAAATGCTGTGGGTTTTAGAGGTAAATACTTGGTGCTACTGATTATTGCAAATTTAGGGAATAACCTTTTACAGTACCGACAGTAAGACCTAGACCAGGGACCCATTTACTGTTTCGTTTTGAGGCCTCCCAGAGGCCAAAAACACTATCCGTTCAAATTTATACATATATATGTCGGATTATGGGAACGGGTGTTCATGGGGGGGGGGGGGGGGGGTTTATGAGGTGAATATCTTGGTTTTTGCTATTTTTAACCCCATATGATCCAATTTTGCAGTTTATTTCCAGTAGTATCTTGCAGAGCTAAAAAAATGTTAACATAATTTCTTGAGGATTTATTGTTTTAATCTAGTAAAATATACTACGAGAATAGAATATTCATACATTTCTACGATGTGATGATAAATATTAATAAATAAACTAGTGTCCCTGTTGCTCGAATTCGAGCAATTGCTAAGTGTTACAGGCGTTATTTTAAAACGAATAACAGTCGTAATTTTTGATGACTTTCTATTTCTTCTCCTTAGTGGTGTTCTATGACTTTCCTATGTTTCCATAGTTTGCAAATCGGCTCTTTCAATGATTACCAAGAAATGCAGCACAGTGTGTTGGTTCAGTTTTCTTCTTAGTATATCAATTTATCAAGGCTCTCTCGCTTTTTTCTATTGTAATATTTACACCAACCCAAATTCAAATGGTACATATTTCACATTTCATTTCAACCAAGTCAGTAAATGTTTGTAGCAAACTGTTAAATTAGTAAACATTGACTGTTTACAGTTAACATTAGTTCTTCTTCTCACTTTTAATTTCTGACCACAGCTGGAGATTCATAAAAATGTTTGTTTCCCATGTTAATCTTATGGAGGAATATGAAACTTTAAAGGGCCCCAGGGCCTCACTCTCTAATTATTTCCCTAAAAAGAAAGTTTCCTGCACAACTTCATGTTACGCTCTTTCCAATGACACCAAAAACATGTCAATCGGTTCAGTAGTTTCGGAGAAGTAATTGTCACAAAAAACCTGCTTGCGTATTAAATAAGTATATAGATAATAATAAAATAGTTATATTATGATCTTAATTATTTTTCACAGAGTAGCCTAAATATGTGTATATAACACCAAAACCACTCTTTAAAAATTACGAACAACTACTAATCTTCTATCTATTATGACATGGTTCGAGAAATCCTCATTCCTCGCAGTGATACCACATGAAAAGACAACAGAGACGGGGTTATAGAATACTCATGTAGTAGACCACACTCCCTGTAACACACTTCGGCTCGAGTGTAGGGTTCCGGCCACTGGTCGTAAATTCAGGGTAAATTCTTTTGTTAGTTTTAAGTTTTGTTAGTTGTTTATCCACCCAAAAGGCTAGTGAAAACCTGTCAAAATTTTTTGGGGGCGAAGTGTTAGAGAGTTGGACTGCAGGCCTCATCTGAGGATTTCGTGTCGAAAATCTGGGTCGAAATACAACACAGACAAGGTATAGATTGTTTGAGCAGTTCCAACGCAAACAATCAATGACATTAAACAGCTGTAGGGCAGTTTACCTGCAAATGGACAGATTATGGTGCTAATGCAAAGTTCGGCCATGAAAGTATACTTTTTGGACGAACGTTCCTTAATTAATTATTACCAGTGTCCTACCATCACAGTGAAAAAAGTAGGAAAATGTCAATCCCTATCTATGTCCATAGTATCATTGCCCAGACTGAATTTTCTTCATCAAAGCCGGATCCTCTTCTAAATTCCCACAAATCCTATTATCTCGGACATTGGTTAGATGATTATGTGAATGCGATCAGTTATATGATACTAGTCCACGGAACAAGCTATATATTTCCCAGAATCAATCAGCGGCTAATTATAGCTTGGTGTTCAACCCTTGAGACTAGTAGCAAACAAGGAACATCCTTGAATGAATCGGAACAAACAAGTCATTAGGGGTAAAACTCAAGTCTGCACGTCAGGACTGGCTCCCTGCAGAAGATAACCACATTTTCCTTAAACAATTGAAAGATTCCTAGACCTCAAAATGCAGCGTAGCTAAATGGGGTCGGGAAAGATGTCTCATGGAAAGACTCATTCAAAGAGGGTAGGGCTGTCTGGTGGTGTCATAAGGACTGTGAACGGCTCAGTACAGATTGTTGAATAATGGCGGTGAATTAACATTATACTTTTTTTATACAGTACTGATTATTAATCTAGCGTTATTGTAGCTCCAATGATCTGAGACGCGCCCCAGCGATGTAGTTATTTATTATATCTTCCCTATTCCCAGCTCACGCCCCCAGTTTGAGCACATCTTTTCTAAACTCAGCTAAGGGGTTAGGGGCAGATCTGACATTCGAAAGCGAGAAACATCGTTTATTATATTTATTGATCATTGGGTTTTTGCTTTTAATAAAAATGAGTATGAGAATATTTACCATCTTTTGAGCAAATACGTCACAATAATTAGTCCCAGTGTCAATAACAAAATCATTATTCTAAATGAAAAACAAACTGTTCCTTAATTCCCACCACAGCATTTTGAAAATAAACTATCACCCCCAGGTTTCCCCAATCTCAGCATGTCTTTGAATAGTAACGAATACCTCGCCACAGCAAACCTGCAGACTAATCGAATTTCCATTTGCGAGGTTGGATTGTCATACTAATATTACATTGAAAACGCAAAATTTATGAAATGTTAATAGCTAAGTATGAAATAAACAATATTGCCGAATTTGATCAAAATATATCCGTATTCAAGCTAACTTCAACAGTTTATTAATTCTCCATAAGAATAATATACTAAATTTACAGTTTTCGGAATTTTCTCTGTAACTATTGGGTGTACAACAACGAAATTCAATTCCTAAAGAATTCTTGTTTTCGAAAGAAATGTCTATGATAGGATGGCCGGATACGATACATTTGAATTGAATTTCTTTTTGAATTGAACATTTCTAGCATATGTGTACACTAAAATGATTCAATCAGGTGAAATATTTTTTTCACAATTATATTTACAATCTGTTCAGCTCTTTGAGCGTTCTGCAAATATGATAAAAATCCAATAACACTTTTAGTTAGTCTATATCCATCGACAGATCTTTTAAAAGTAAAGTATTAAAGTAGTATATTTCAAGCAAAAAATTACAATCTAAAATTAACTTATTCAAACAAATCGTGAGTTCTAAAACATGAGTTTTTTCAGTCTATGTAGCGATACTATTGTCTAAAAGATTTAGAGCCAGGTAGTTTTTCAAGCTTTTTTAGGTATTTTACACTTAATTTTGATATTTCTTCTTTAACCATTGTAATTGCAAAGAATATTTACATAGAAAGAAGAAAAATGCGTGTGAACAGCTTGATTGATAAATAAGCCTTATATCTTAAGTTGCTAGGGGCTTTTTAATAATAAACATGTTTTAATACTACCTTTAACAAGACCAGGGATTGGACCGGCCCCTAGCAAAAAAAAAACTTTAGAAAATACCACGGTGTGTTTAGGAAACATAAAAACCTAAGCCAATGTTTTACTTCCCCTATGTAAACGTTTTTCATTGTCTTGTTTCAATTGACAAATTGTCTATGTAGCGGTGTTGTCCATGTTTATATTTGATGTATGTAGGGGTTTTAAGTAAGAATAGGCGTCTACATTATGAAAATATTCTTCATAACACATTTATTTACTAAACAACAGTTAAATTCAGTGACATTCCCAATGTCCTGCACGCGACGCTGCGGCGTGCGGCTGCAGCAAGGAGGCCTGGCTGATCAATATGACGCGACTGACGTAACGGCACGGTGACGTCACGATCAGCCAGTGATCACGTGAGCAGCACGCCACGAGCACGCACTGTTCACGTGATAGCCGCCTCGCTATTGGTCGTCGCGGCCGAGCCCTCGCACGCCATTGGTCGCAGCTCCCGCCCCAGTTCCAGACCGCGTGAACACATCGCACCCTGGATCAGTGTTGGTTTCGGTGGTGTTAGTTGTTAGTTGAGACAAGCTCTGATGAGTTGGTGATATTACAATGCCTACAGGACAGTTGTCACCCCCGCATACGCCACCGCCTTTGCAGCACAAGGTAAGCAACTCAAAATACATACATTTGCAAAATCACTAAATTTTTTAAAAATTTATATATTTATAAATAAATGTAAATTTTACTTTCCTTGAAAATATTTACCTATCGACTACTTTGTGCTACATAAACTTGGAAACGCATATAAACTGTAGGTAGACTGCTGTTGCATAGCGAAGTTTACATTGTTCAAAGAATAATTTCAGTAAATTATTAGGCTTTTTTGTCATTGTGGTAATCTAATTATGTGGCGAATTTACTTGTTCGATTATAAAAACAAAAAATAAAAATTACGCTCGTTAATCAATTTTATAAAACAAACTAGCTGACCCGGCGAACTTCGTATCACCTAAGTTATAGGTTTTTTTTCCTAATGACAGACCGATGGAAAGAAAGTACCGTTACGTTTAATTTTCAAGATGATCTCGTTCGCATCGCTCAATCACGTCCTGGTTGAAGTTCGTTCACTACGCTCACTCACCTTTGGGTTGGAGCTCGTTCGCTGCGCTCACTTGCCTTTAGGTTGGAGCTCGTTCGCTACGCTAACTCGCCTCCAGGTTAGCTCGTTCGCTACGCTCACTCGCCTCCAGGTTGAAGTTCGTTCGCTACGCTCACTAACCTTTTGGTTGCAAATTAGCTGTTGTCATAAATGTAAAAGAAATAATAGTGCTGCACCCTGTTGGTAATCCTTGTAACTTTAATGCTATTGAACATCATAGAACAGAACCAACTTGTTTAATTGAAACAGCTGTTAAGATTCATTAATTCCATTTCTCATAAGGTTAACATGGGAAACTCCAGAGCCACTGGGGTGGAGCCCTTTTAAGAATTTCGAAACGGGAAATAGTTTACGTCCGATTCGCATACCTACAGAATTTACACACCAAATTTCATAACGATCGGTGAAGTCGTTCCGGAGGAGTTTGCAGACAAACACTGTGACACGAGAATTTTATATATTAGAAGATGTTTTGAAAAGTGTAAAATATTTAAATTTTGAAAAGTATAAAAATATTTATAAAAATATAAAGCCATTCTCTCAATTATTTTCGACGGTCGGCCACCCTATCTTTGGGCGAATACAGTGTAATCACTAAAAGGGGGTAGCTTATGTTCTATCTATTGATATATAGGCAAGGCTCCTGGAGATAATTTAGACGTGTCATGAATTCAAATATTTTAAAACTTTTGTTGCTTGCATAATCTTGTGGATTTTTTATACAATAATTTTATTTCCACATAAGTTAGTTGGATTCTTTCACAGGTTTAACCCATGGTGGTGTCGTTTTCACAAGTTTACCCTACATTCGTGAATTACAGTATTTGTATCTTGTGTTAAGTTATATTTGACTTGTTTTTAATTATATAAGCTGTATGAGTAATATTAAATGTAACAAATTAAACTCGAGTCGTATTCAAATTTCTAAAATTAAAACAATTTTTTCGTTACAATCAGAGGCCATAAACAACAATACTCAATTCTGCAGGGGGTAATCGGCAAGGTCACTATCATGCGGACACTGAATGATCACAAACAGGCGAAACTTTCCCCAAGAGGTTATCATGAAGGCGGTGACAGCAGCGACGCTATTTATAGTTGTTTGGCCGTGGCGATGTAGCGGCGATCATAGAGGCAGTGCGTGTTCATCACGTGATCAAAGAGTGCTCGCGGCGTGTCTCAGACGATATGACGCCGCCTTGTTGTGTTTACTTACATCTGCCGCACGAGCTCGCCGCATGCAAACAATGGTGTTGCAAAATAGCTCCACTCCCAACTCCGCCGCTAGCTTTCATTTGGCAACAGAAAAAGCTATTCGTGTAGAAATGAATTTTCAGAATCATTGTATGATTTGCATTAGAAGATGTACAGAGCTAATTAGGTAATAAGTTAATACCATTTTTTTTATAAGTATAGAAATATTACAAGTATTATAATATTATGTTCTAAGTGAAATTGTTGCTAGAAACCTTCCTCCCTTCACCTATCTATTCTATACTGACTAGTGACCAATGACTATAATGCTTAAAATCCTATAACTTCAAATTCAGAAATGCCGTGATGATTATTCTTAATGTAAAATGTCTATTCCCTTTCCCTAAAATAACATGATAGAAAAGAAGTTACAAGATTTTGGGAACACTTATTTTGGCATATTAACGAGCAACTTGAGATATAAATTCAAGATACTGGTAGTGCTGCAAAATCAGAGCAATTTATAAGGTTATCTCCTCAAGACTGAGTTTTAGGGCAATTAGTGATTTTTAAAACATAATTTACTAATCGAGATGGAATCTGTCGAATCCCTCAAATTGACAAAACCTTCAATCACTTTAGCTTTTAACTAGATTGGCTATCTTGACTTGTTACCACACCCCACACCATGATGTTATACCGTACATTTTTTACAGATGTACCAGAGACCGGTGGACATGGAAGCTGTCAGCAGCATCCTCTCTTATGGCTACCTGGGCAAGAAGAAGCGTGCTGCAGTAAGCAGCAGGTTGGAGTCAGCACTGCCTACTCCTCAGCCATCAGACTCAGATAGTGATGAAGCTGAGCTGCCACTGAGAAAGCGACTCTGCCTTGAGGAGAGAGACTGTGAACTAGCTAGGGTGAGTTTTAGATACATAATTTCGGTTCAAAACATCAACAGTTTTGTTGTGCTGGCCAATTTGTAGTGAACGACCTATGCAAAAAAGTACTTTGAAGGAGAAGTTGGTTAGCTCCTCACTCTCACAAATTGAAAATGTAGCGTATACTTTTTAAATGGTTGAAGGTAAATTTTGGACAAAATTAAGCAATGCATCTTCTTAGTTATCTTTGTTCCATCTTTATTTTCTGTTTTTTCACAAAATTCATGGAATCAATCAATTGTTTTTGTTACAGCTCTTGATGTCAAGCACGCCTCCTCGCACCCCAAGCCCTGCCGAGCACAAAGTCACATCAGTTCCTGTCTCTGTCATCATGAAAGTCAACAAGGACGGTGTGTGCTCCTCTGAACCATTCGCTAAGGATTCTTCCTCCAATGTACACGCACCCAATGACTCCAATTATTCTCTCGATGTCTGTGATATCTTCAACGAAAGCTATAATTCTTCAATAGCAATCAGCAATAACACTTTACCCACTCCTGCCAACAGATTTGTGTCTTCCCAAAATATATTGAAGAGTATTAAATTTAAGATGAGTACCCGCAAAGAGGAGATTATTGTTGAGAATAAGGATACTTTCCGGGAGTCTTCTGCTGTATTGAGTGGATGTTCTTCTCAGTCACCTGTCTCACCGCCATCGATGAACATCCATGAGACCAGCAGGCTCAAGCCTGCCCCCGCGCCACCATCTCCTCACCGATCACCCAGCTCCCCCCAGAGGAATGTCGCCATCGCTCCCAAGCCTTACTACCCGATCGTCACTGTCCCGGACACTCAAACAGTAATTCTCACTGGGGGAACTCTCATACCCGTCAACAACCCGAGACCTTTCATCCAGTCTCAGGTTTCAGGATCATTCATCCCTGTGTCTGCTGCTTCCAAGGTTCCCAGCCAGACGACACCCTTGACCCATGTCATGCTGTCACCCCCTGGTTCGCCGGAAATGCCCAAGATATGTCCATCTTTTGTGTTCTTTGCGGCCAACTCTCCTGTTGAAGACAAAGACCCAGCGGCCGACCCAAGGCGAAGGATCTTTGAATGCGAGTTCGAGGGTTGCGGCAAAAACTACTTCAAGAGTTCTCACCTGAAGGCTCACATGAGGACTCATACAGGTGAGGATTTAAAAAATATATTCTTCAGAGTTACTTGTTATAGATAAGATCTGTAAATGCAAAGCTATATTATTGAGCTGATTAAAATATAGCAGGTAATTCTAGTTGGCTACACACTATGTTAGCCTCAGTTCCATTGGTGCAGAACGTTTCTTACACCAAAAAGGCTTTGGTAATTGAGTGGTTTAACAAACCCCAAATAAAGACTGTTCAAATATATTTCAGACTAATATGGCTTAATAATGAAGATGTCAACAAAACTAAACCTGAGCAGATACAATTTGAATTTTAGGGGTATCTCTCACAGATAAAGGTAGAAATCCATAGTTCTCAGTGATCATGGACAATTTATTCAAAGATCATAGTACTTAACAAACTTCAATCACTTCAAGTTTTCGAGTTTGTAATTTTATTTGAATTGTTTCAGGAGAGAAGCCGTTTGTTTGCCAGTGGCCAGACTGTGGTCGTCGTTTCTCGCGTTCAGATGAACTCTCCAGGCACAAACGGACGCACACTGGAGAGAAAAAGTTTGTCTGCACAGTTTGCAGCCGACGCTTCATGCGCTCAGATCACTTGGCCAAGCACGCCAAACGCCACACCAAAGACTCCCCCCTCCCCACCTCCCCCATGCAAATCAGTCTTGTTATTCCTGCTCAAGCTGCGGTTTAAATTGTCTATACCGACATCACCTAAGTATTCCTATAATACTCAAGGGCTTGTACAAACGCAATATTAGAGTTTCCCAGTCTTCCTATTTTTACTTAAGGAGTCTTCAAAATTGTATCAGTTAAGGGGTCTTGATGGGATTTAATTGAATGCATGTAGGGTTTTGTTTTCTGGGTAATGAGTGATACAAGGGGTTTCTCGGGGGTATTCTCATATTTCATCTATCATTGTCGAGCTTGTGGCCATTAATGTTATGTAATCTTTGCAAACAAGTCAATAAATGATGTATTGATCCAGCAGAGATAGCCAGCCATATCGAGATTGCCATTAAGTGCCAAAAGGTCAACTGTAAAATTGATTAGATCATAAATTGATTTCTATCCTACATGCATATTATGTTGAGTTTGTGCATTTCTAAAGTAATTTTGTACCTGAAGTATTGACGATAGCACTAGTTTTAAGATGTACATTTGATAATTGTGATAATCAGAGACCTAACAGTTTGTTTTACACACTTTCTGTTCTAATTTAAGGTTTTATTTTGTTCCTATTTCTTTTATAACTTATAATTATAAAAACATATTCCTACCATTCCTCATTTTTAGTAGTAGTTATAATTTTATCGTGTTTTTTTTTTATATAAAAGCATAAATAATTTAAAGAATCAAAATGTTTTTTTCCTGAAGTCATAGAACAAAACTGTCATATTTGTGAACTTTAAACTATTTTATATTTTTAAATTGTAACTATGAATATTTTTAGTCTCTTCCACTGCTTGAACAGTCAAATAGTGAATGGTCAGTAATCAAAACTCCTTACAGCCTCATCTTTGCATAGTTACATAGTTTTGATATTTCAACTTTCCTCACTCGAATTGTGATATTTGTGATTTCAATGTTAACAGCTTCTTTGATAGGCTTGAACTTTTCATATAAAACCAGACTGCAGAGTTAATGAAGTATTTATTTTGATTTTTCAGATGTAAATATTGTTATAGATTAGAAAATTTATTATTTCTATAAACTTTGTTTAGTGTTCAAGATGTTATTTTGTAGGAAATGTTTATTTTAATGGTCATTTTGTTGTCGCAATCAGACATCACCTTATTTATTAAAATGAATGAATTTGCAAAATAATTAATAGTGTTTTGAAGTTTATTAACCTAACATATCCTGGGTAGAATGATAGCTGTTTCTTCAAAATGGTTGAAAAAGAAATCTCAAGGGGTTGTGGAATAAATAGTACAACTACCTTCAGTTTTTAATATCAGTTTTTAGACCTTTTGCAATTCAAGTTTTTACTAAATATAGGCTAATGTGTTTTTCTTCTTTTTACAATGGGATATCTCTTAACAGTTTTACCATCTTATTAAAAACCACGTGACAACATTAATAGAAAAATTAGAGGTTTTCTTCAAAGTAAGTTTTCTTGTGTATACTTATCTTTTCTAATGTGGCAAAATAGCATACTGTTCGAGCACGAAGTATAATGTATTTTGGCTATTTTAGACGGGCACAAGGGCCTTCATTTTCAAATTGCTTTCCTGTTGTTAATTTGGACGAAGATAGATTTCTAACAAAAGGATCTGTTTTTATATCTATAACTAGAGGACTCATGCTGCTCCGCAGCGATCAAAATAAATATAATGTCTGAGAAATAAAATTTATGATTTTTGATATAGTGATACAGTATCTTGAGCTTAACTGATTCGAACGATCAATAGCTCAAATTAAAGCCTATAATTTAATGATTATTTTGAGTCTAAAACATATAAGAAACCTGAACAATACTAATACTGGAGCGGAGCTATTGATTTTTTATCATAGAAATACCTTATGAAAAATAATTTTAATGTTTTTATTGACCTTGCGTTTTCTTGAAAATCTTCCAATTTGATAAACTAATAGCTTAAATGAAAGCTGGTATTTCACTGAAGGTTCTTAGACCAAAATATATAAGATTATATAATTATATAACTGGTGAAATACATTTTAAATTGAAGTAAGAATTCAAAAATGAATCAAGTTAGGTTTTTTTGGTCGATAAATACAGTAGGTAAAAATATGCCGATGCTTGATGGCAAATCCCACAAATCTGTGCTTGCATACCTTCAATTTGAGACCTCAATCATTAAAATTGGTTGGGTAGAAGAGCCAAACGAACTCTGCAAAGAAAAACCAAATTTAACTCCCATAAGAAATACATGGGGAGCAAATTTTGTTTACGTATGAGCCGAGTGGGATTATAGATAATTATATGCCAAAGCTTGATGGCAAATCTGTGCGTGCATACCTTAAATTTGAGACCTCAATCATTAAAATTGGTTGGGTAAAAGAGCCAAACGAACTAAGCAAAGAGAAACCAAATTTAACTCCCATAAGAAATACATGGGGAGCAAATTTCTTTTACGTATGAGCCGAGTGGGATTATGGATAATTATATGCCGGAGCTTGATGGCAAATCTGTGCGTGCATACCTTCACTTTGAGACCTCAATCATGAAAATCGGTCAGGTAGAAGAGCCAAACGAACTCGGAAAAGAAAAACCAAATTTTTTAAATATATAAGATGACCGGTAAAAAGTTTAAGAGGACGCATAAAGGTTTTTAGCGAATTTCCTTATGGGGATGTAGCTATTACTGTAGGGGGCTTGGATATATTGAATTCTCATTCAACTGACTTGCAATATTTAAATAAAATAGACAGAATGTTATTATTAAAGAAGCTATGCCCCTGTGATGGGAATCTGATGGAAACCTAATTAAATTTTAAAATACCCCTCCTTGGTGTAATGTTTAATTCGTTAAATGGAGGAGTATGGTGTATCATGCAAAATAGAGGATATAGCACCCTATATAAAGAGTGTAACCATTGGATCAAGTGTATTTCATAATATGAGGGAGACACTACAGTGAGCTAAACATTACAAACGTAAACCCCGTATCATGTTAAATGCATGAACAGGTGATGTTATGACCATCTGTGCTTTAAATGGAAAATCGCCAACTGATAGTTTGCCAATTACTACCACTAGATCACTGCTCTTCCTAGAACCACACAACCACGCCTTCGGTGTGTCTTGGCCAAGTGGAAGAAACCGCTTGAGTTTAGAACTATTTTTATACAAGAACCAGAACAAATCCACCAGAATCAAATCCAAACGTCCAATAGAAATAATTTGATTTTTTAAATTACTTTTCTTAAGATTCTACCCTATTTAATTTTGAAAGTTTAATGCATTTTCAATTGGTCTAATTCAAAGTTGTAGCTACCCAAGTAAATACAGGATTCTAAATGATATGAAAGAAGGATTAAACGTTTTGAAAAGAAAATTACAGAACAAAATTATGACTTTTCAGGACATTAGGATGTTAATGTTGGTTCCATGACAATTTTACTTTGTTTAAGCATATTGTTGTGTTTAGGAAATCTACAGAAATAAAAATACCCCGGACACAGCAAACCTGCAGACTGAGGGAATTTTAAATGGTAAGTGGGAGTTGGGTGATTTAAGATTTTTATTATACTCATTAAAACCAATCATCGGCGGTCGTGAAAATGTTATCAAACATGCGTGGAGAGCACAAGAAATATCGAACATTTTTTTTTAAGGGATGTGCTTAATTTTTGAATCACCCAACCTTTTTTTAAATGACAATTAAATGGCAATTTTTAAAGACATACCTTCGATTAGAAAAATAAATGCATGTAACCATTTTGCAGTATAAAAAATGTCATTAAAATTCCAGGACAAAACAGGGAGGTACTTTCAGGATAGAGCCAATTTCAAGGATTTACCAGAATTCCCAAATGGGATTGGGGTCCTTCCACAAGAATTCTTTTATAAATTTAATACATGTTCATATAATATATAGATATTTTCCCACCCATCTGATCATTTAAAACTAAAACCTATTGTGACTTCTCGCTGAAATAAAACATTTGTATTAATTTTTAAGTTATTTTCAAATTTACATCACTAAATGTTTATGGGGATTTCTAAATCATTTCTTGGATTTTGTCACATCTTACAGTCTCGAGTGTAGTTTTTTTGGAAAACCGGTGTTTCTTTAAAAATGATAAGTTTGGTAACACAGTAACCATGGCTGTTCCCAGAGAACTTGAGGAAAATTTTAAAAACCGTATTCATATAAATATGTTGTTTGATATTTTTTATTCATTTGCAATTGAATCAGTTAATAAACAAAATACCCGTGACCTGAAATTTACAACATTCATCATCTAAAGTACCGCAACGCCCCACTAAAAAATATCCCTTGATACTCAAAAATATCCGCCCCTCAGAATCCATTGTGAAGCCGCTGTTTACTACCTAAAAATATCTAAACCAATGATATTTTAAACAAACAAGATTTCTTGCTGACTGAAGTGGTACCAATGCACTCTTGCACAAGTTACAATTACAATATATTGTATCAATGTAATAGTCAAAAGGTAAAAGTGCTAGTGCAAAGTCACTGAATGACATGCAATGAACACACCCAGAAAGTGTGATAGCTAAAACCAGCAGCTTATCTAATGGCTGTTATCTAGTAAGCTTGTTTGTTCATATATACTTTATACTCATTGGAGCATGCTGCCACTGAATGATTCTTGTGAAAACCATCCCATATTTGTCTCAAGGATTTGTGCAGCTATTTTTGGGTACATGTGATTTCTGCTCATTGTATCTATGTTCCAAAAAAATTTTGAATTTATCATTTTGTAAATATAGTCAGTCTAGTATTTTCTTTTATAGGATATAGACTAAAGACTTGGTCCATGGGTGGCAAAGATGAATGCTTTTACAAATCTCTTGGTGACGAATTGTGTTTTCGATTTCAACTCTAATTTACTTCATTTGCACCTTCAAGACATTGGACAGTGTGAATTAGATTTGCTAAATTCAACCAGACCTGATTTATGGAACGGATAATTTAGCTCTTAGCAAAAACTTACAGTTAAAAAAAATCAAATGTTATGAAAAAGATATGGTCCCAAAAAATGGCAAATGGAGAATTAGAAGAAATCAATAATAAAGACATCTCTACCAACAGCTATTATCACAAGCAGAAGATTGAAAAGGCCAGGCCACGTAGTGAAGAGACCCAAAAACACCCTTATCAAAGAAGTATTTGAGGGGAGTCCTGGTCTAAGCTAAGATTGAGACAGGAGACTAGGAGTAACTTGCGAGAAAACCGAGGACTGAGATGAATGGAGGCGCATTTTTGCGGAGGTCAAAAACCTATAGAGTGATGAGGTAAAATATAAATAAATAAATTGGTGTAACTTTTCACATGTAAAATAAAAAAATAATATTTACCAATGGTCAACAACATCAAAACATGTACTAAACGAATAGAACTCTAATACAATAAAAATTAAACTATCGTGCTCCCGTTTTAGATAATCTAAATATTTGGGATTAGCAACTGACGATTTTACCTTATTGTTTACTTTAGTTAACTATTATATTACTAATTGATTTTAAAACAGCTTATTATTGTTGTACAGTAATACTCTTGCTTGAAGTGTGGATAAATTAGATTGATTTTGACACTCTTAATGTTTGACACATTTTGAAGTTTTGCAGTTTCAGGGGATATACCCTGTGTGGATTCAGTACACAGGAAATACTTAAATTATGAACTACTGCATTGTGTGAAAACTATTGTGTTTCTGGGCACCTAGGATATGATCAAATATGACAGAGAAAAGAGGATCTTCTTTGTTACATACATTGCTCCTGAAAATAAAAATCATGTTTTGCTGTTAATAAAATTGCATTGAAGTATTTAGCTAAAAGTGCATTATATCAATCTTTGGAAAATCTGAGTCATATTGAATAGTTGATTAGTCAAGTTGCGATTGATGATTAGATCAGATGAGGAATTCGTAAATGACCGTAAACGCATGCGTCAGCAGATAGGCAGAGAGATAGTTTCATTTAATGTATTGTATCAAGATGTTTTTCAGCCAAGCTTCATTGTACTAAAAGTTTCTCTACTTAAAATGTGTCAAAACAAATAATAGCTGAATAAGAGTTTTTAGTTTTAGGTACATCATGCTGCTTTAAAAATCTGTCTCCAGTAAAAAATAATAATAGTAGATGAAGAAATATAAAAGTATTTTTATAACATGCTGACATTATTCTTTTAAGAAGCTCATTATTTTATAAAATACTCCAGCCACGGCAAACCTGCAGGCTGACCGAATTTTAATATGTCTGATTGGATTTTTACTCAGATTTCTATGAACAAGTCATATTTATTCCATATTAAATCAGCAATAGATTTAACACGTTCTTGGGTTTGCTGCTACGGGGAGGGGGAACCGTCTTTCTGATAAAATGTTATTAGTATAGGATGTAATAAAGCATGAGTTTTATTGTTTTATATTATCTACTTTCATATGTTTATCACATTCAACCACTTTACGGGAATCATTTGTTTGTGTCAAAATCGTTAACTATTGTTCATGTATTTATTCTCTGTTAATTTTTTAGTTGCCATTTCGTTAACGGTAGATTTACAAATTGTATACCTTGTTATGTTTGAATATGTTGTATTGTAGCACTAAATTAAAAACTGTGATCAACATCTTAGGAAATAATCTATGTTTTAGAATAATTAAGGACTGACAAACAATTTTTAAGAAATCAAGACGAAGCACCTGTACATGTGATTTTCACAAGTTTTTATATTATGTGCAAATAAATTATCTTTATCATCATTATCATTAAATTTGTCAAATTTGATCAAAATATATCCAAAAACAAACAAACCATATCAGATTTATTGTTCTCCATATGAATAACGTTGGAATTTTATCTGTAGGTTTTTTTAGCTCTTCAGGATGGATGTAATAAAAATTGAGCACTTTAATGTTTACAAGGAAAACTTTAAAGAACAATTTTTTTTTAACTTAAAACCCCATAAAAACCCGTTCTATTTTCCGATCTTGCTTGTTTGCAAACTCAAAAAAATGTTTTTCAGCTTAACGCTCTTGCCCAATTACCCCAAAATCGGACCAAAAAATTACCCGAGTTGCCGTGTTCACCAACACACACACACACATATATAGATTAGAACGAATAGTGTTTTTGCCCTCTGGACACATTTAACAATTTTACATTTTACAAATGTCATTTAAGATTACTGAGAATGGGTTTGAAAAAATTTCCTCAAAGGTAGTTGCCAACCACAGTTTTAAGTAACCTCAGCTTGAGTAACCAGTTTGACCAAACTTCCTTGTATTAAATGTGTTATAAATATAGATTTATGGTTTAGAAGAACATTGCCTAGTAAAATTGTAATGTGGTGAAATGCGGTTGGCTGAATGTTGGGCCCAATATTTCTACTTCTATCCACCGCAAAGTCATGCACATTTCATGTCGCTCCTCGAACATTATTCAACCTAAGCTAACAATCTCATCAAAGTGCACATAATACCTCAGCTGCACATCACAGCCAGCTTTTATGTTTGAATACATTTAATTTAGTGAACAGAGATGTAACTATATAAATTGACTAATTCTGATTCATAAATATATCTACAAGTAACTAACCTGAATTCAAATATTAATTATAATATTCTGGCACTGGAACACGAGACCACGACCGACTTGGTAAAATTCGACATAACTAATTAAGTAACTCATTGCCCTAATCTACACCCTTCCCCAACCCCTATTATTTTATCTACTCATGCTAAAGCTACTTATCGGTTTGGAGACGTCCAACACAGAGCTGCTACCACTAGACTAAAGACCCTGACTCCTCGAAATTAAGTGTGCACGCGCATCTAGCTATTGTGACTGTCTTAAGTCGTCTCGGTGACGTCACGCCTACACTCACGGTACACGCACACTCTGCTTATTGTAGCGGTGACGTTTCAGTACAGCTGTTTCATAAAATTGAGGATCCTGTAAATCTATACGACCATTATCAAAATTTTAATATGTATTTGGTTTCATTGTGTATTTTCAACTTGTAGAAAAAAATTACAGATAAAAGTTTGAATAATGTAGAATGGGGCTTTGTTATTAATGTTTAACTAGCAGTGGCCATATTACAAACTCTCCTAACAACCAAACAAGGAGCTTTTTGTGTTTTTAATAAAATAAGAGGTTTTAAATTATATTTTTTTATCAACATGAAATACACATATTATATTCTTAAGAAGAGACAATCATTGAAACAATAACGTTTCACTCATTTTCACAGAGAAGCGGGAAATGGCATCTAACATCACACTTTACCTTATTTCTTCTACAAACACATTTCTTTGTCAGGCATTTTGAACTGCAAGAGCAACTTGTTATTGTATTTTCAGAAATCCTTCGCAAATCGACTTCCGTGACGGTGGAGAATAAACTTGTAGTAGATTCTTTAAATAGCTTTATGGAAACTGGTATCTTAAGAGCCCTGAAAGTAATTCAAAATTTGGGTTAATTACTCTAGCAGTACAAACAAATGTGTTGATAAAGATAATGAATGAAAAGGTCAATACTGGATGAATTGTGTGGGTGAAATGCAAACAAATGTTCAAACAAAAAAATAAAAAAAACACAAAGAATTATAAGTCTCAAAGCTTACTCTTACCAAACAACGTTATTAATTTTTTAATTAATATTTTAGAGTACAAATTGAAAGATGAGAAACATAGTTGCTATGCACATAGATTAGCAGAACAGTTGGCCCACATTAAGCAGCAAGTCCCCTCGTCTGGGTGTTTATATATAGTTGCACAAAAAATAACAATTTTCACCCTGATTATAAATGCATATAGCTGATTCCAGCCATTTCACTTTGCCACACCCTTTCTACCTAAAGACAAAAATAATAAGTACAGCCATGAAGTGTTGTCTACGAAATAAGTTGTCCACATTGGTAGTAATAATGTATATTTTTGTAGTTTTATGCCTAACACATAACCTAATCATTGAGTGATTTAATGAATGAATTCCATTATTGCAAGTTAAGCACAGATGGATCTGCAAGTTTCCATTTGAAGGGTAATTTTTCAAAGTATAAAATTATTCCAATGCAGAATTACAGTTGGTTTTAATTGAATATGGAAAAGGTATGGAAAAAACAATTCCTATTTTCACAGATATAATTATTATAAAAAATAATAATTACATGAAATAGAAAACAAAATCCACAGTCATGGCATTAAGTACACAATAATCTTTTTTACACTACAATTCACAGTAAAAAACCTAAAATAAAATACTGATTTCTACTGAACAGCACCATGGGTACAGAAATATGGCTTACAGTAAATGCATAAAAATGGGAAAAAAATTTAAAAATGAAAACAACTTCTGAAAAAAATTCACAACTTATTGTCAGCAATTCTTGGAGAAGAACACATAGTAAAGTTTGTTTGTCGTACAGTAAAAAGAGACAACTCGTTGGTTTACCTTCTTGTTTATTGATTAGACAAAAACAGTAGAGCACTAATTATCCGAATATCAGTTCACCAAATGACTGGTTCTCGAGATGTCCGTTAAAACAATTTTTTGTTCTTTAAAATGTTTTGATATTTTTAATTTCCCAAGTGCAATGTTAACTTTGTAGTCTAGGTAGGTTTTAGTTATTTGAAACTCACTCATAATATCTCATTACTAAGCAATTTGATCTGATATCTTTTGTCAGAAACAGGAATTTTAAGTGTTTAGGAGTATCCATAATATGCTACAAAGTCGGGAAGTAGTATTTACTTTACGAATTTTTAACTTTTTGAAAAAGATAGTGTTACTAAACTTTTCCAATATTTATTGTGAAAGTCCTGCTTGTCAAAACCTGTCTCCTATTTATTGTGTAGCTAGCTTGGTTGTCCTGTAAAAGCGATCAACAAATTGATTAGACTCAAGCTATTGTTGAACTGATCCCTTCTGTGACTTGACTTGACCAGGAACCTGGTGAGAACTGGCAACAAAATATTTGACTTTTTGTTTGTTGTTATATTTAAAGAAATTCTTTTATTCACAGTATGCATGTTTTTCAATAAACGATTTTACGTATTATAGTACCATACTAATGTACTTAGACAGTTTTAGTTGTAGGCTATTACTTTAGGGCTGAAATCAAATGTTAATCAGTAATCCGGATTGTCAGTTACTACAGAAGGGCTTCTGTAGTGGATTTTTGGTAATTTGTGTTGTAATTTGGGCACTGTAAACTGTCAATTACATGCTAATTACAGGCAAACTAAAGACAATTCAAGACACAAATGAAATAACATTAAAATTCAAGTTTGATTATAGTCTATTTGAACGGGCAATGCAAGGTTAAAAGAGGCTGCCAACCTTTAAACAAAAAACAAATTCTAGTACTTCCCTAGGACCCAAATTTAGTGACAAAGCTGACATAATTTTACTATTATTGTAAGATAAGTGAATTGCAGACCTTACTATTAGTCCTCCACACACTTGGGGTAACTTGGAAATTTGTTCTTATATTAAAAATAACCGTACAATTATTTAAAAACAATATACATTAAAGGATGAAAAGCTACCTTAGTAAAAACGAAACCTTATTTAAAAAAATACACTATTTACAAAGCACTATCTCAGAAGATAAAATCTTCTTAGCCAAATCTTAACCTAAGCGTGATATTTAAACTCCAATTAGACATCTCATGTAGAACCCTGCTACCAATACTTTGAGTGGTTAGGTTGGTTAGGTGTGATGGAAGGTAAAATATTCAGGAAAAATTACAATACTTTACAAGAGGAAAACAACAACAAAAATATACTATAAACAACAATGTACATTAACAACTCTAGTAAAAATATATAATTTGTTTTCTTTATTCGTGTTTTCCAATGTTTAAGTCTCAAGATTAAAAAGTATTTTATTGGCTAGCAGGGTTCCGTTATTATCATGCCCCCAAACTGAAAACAAAATGACAGGCTTTTGAATGTCGAATTTGCAATACAAAATACAAAATGTAGCCAGCTATAAAATGAATGATTGGTAATCTACAACACAAAGATGATTCTAAAAGCTATGATACTGCAAATGACTTTGGCATTTAAAAAATCTAAATGTGGTGTGAACAAATAAATGCAAAATTTAAACCCCTACTACAATAAATGTAGCATTAGGCAAAAAATATAGTTAATTACTTTTGATATTTATATATGCACTTAAAATATCTTTTTTTGATTGCTAAAATCAGTGCCATCTTTAATTTAATTCAAACATGACTAGAGATATTTTTCAATAGATTGCTAAACAATTTTAAACATAATCTAAAAAGCTGCTAAAATAATTGCAAACACAGAATACAACAAAGTATGGCGACCATAGCCATGACAGAAGTAACACCAACATAAAATAGTAAGGTTTTTAAACCAAACCTATATATTATATATAAACTATTCCACATCTTTGACATAAATAAGCTATGAATAACTGTCCAAACAGATAGGTGTTGTACAATTTATGGGTTTGCATTTTCAAAATAAAAGGTTTATCTTTACAAGTACTGTTTATGACAAGTTATTGTGGTTAATTGTTAAAAAAAATTTCAAGTTGTTTGAAGACGAATGTATCTTCTAGTTTAAATAGTTGTCATTGAGTTTCCTGATTGTAATACAGCCCTAATAATTAATCTATTGGTTATTACATTTTAACTTGGTTTTTTAAAAAAATGACAAATTTTATTTAAAGTAAAAAAGTGTTGTTGAAGTTACAAGTAATACAAGTCCTATAAATGTTGACTAATGTGTTGTAGTTAATATGCACGTTGTTTATTTTATTCACACTTCATTTTACAATTGGTTTTAGTTTGATTAATCCATTCAAGCAAGTGTTGTAAGACTATTACTGTACTTGCGGCATATTTGATTGGTCTATCAGTACTGCAGACTGTAGACATTGTTCTAGCAGCAATGAATTATAAAATCACTACTGTATTCTTTCATCGTCAAGTACAATACACGAAGTTTAGTAATTTTGCACACATAATCAACTTCTGTATTACATTAGATCAGATTTATAAAATGCGTCAAACAGGTGCATATTTTAAGATGAAAATGCCTGAAGGGTGTGTGTGGAATCGATGAGAAGGTGGCTCTTGTCACCGACTAAGATAAGCCGGTTCTTTACCTGGAACCATTCATTAAAAGAAAAGTAAAGTAAATTAAGTTTGATTTACACAATCAAAAAGCTACTCAATTAACTTCTGCTTTTGTATTACTTTCTGGTGGTTTGATTTTTTTTAGTGTAGACAAGGGTCCCACTTTTCAGGTATACGAACACGAGGGGGATCAGATGTCGATTAAAGTGTGATGTCGCTGTTTGATGTGTATTTGATTGGTTCATCCACCTCTGTGCTTTACAGATATGGTCACCAGAGAAACGTTTCACAAAATTGAAAGATCAAACTAAACATCCTAACTAACAAGACACACAAAATAAAACCACACTCCCCAAGTCCCGACTGCTATTTACTTGCGGTGGAACTCGGACAGGCAGAGTCGACAGCTCCAGGAGCCCTCAGGGGGGGTGGTGAGAGGGGGTGCCAGACAGTACATGTGGTAACCTCTGTCACAGTCATCACAGAACAACAGCTGGTCCTGTAACATAACAGGGTTTCTAAGGTTTGAAAATCAACCAAATCAAATCACAAACATTTTATTACACAGACAAAAATCAGAAATGAATTGAGTTCACCTGTTGGGTCTGATGATGATTGGATTCCAATCAAAATCGATCACCGCTTACCATCTTTTATATGTACCTACTGTCTTGTGAGTAAACAGGATAAGTGTAAATATATTATTAGAAGAGTTATTTGACGTATTTTTGTGCTTTTCAGGTAAAGAATTGATTGATTGATTGACAGTAGTGAAGTCATCACAAGTCTCCCGCGATCGTGATAACGGTCTGATCATCTCCCGTGGCCATATAGACATAATCATCATCTCCCCCAGTCATGAAGACATCATCATCATCTTCCGTGATCACAGCACAAACCAGATCATATCCCACGGTCTTGTAGACATCATCATCGGCTCTTGCGATCACGGAAAAATGCCAAATATCGTCGCAGTGTAACAGAAACATAATCATCTTCCGCAAACGCAGTAAATTCATTAACATCTCCATGGTCGTCGTCTTCTGCGATCGCGGCAAAATTCTGATCGTATCCCAGTTTGGATAGACATCATTGTCTCCCGCAGTCATGGAAACGAATCATCGTCACGCATGATCGCAACAACAGAAATTTTATGATCATAAGATCTTTGAGACAACTTGGTAGTAGAATAGAAACGGGACCTGTCTCAACCAGTTTGAATTAGCATGACTCTGGTGTGAGGTGTAACTCATAAATACATGGATGGTCCTACATAGGCAATGCCTGTACATGGGGAATGAGTTACCAGCATCACTTGCCAAAAACTAGCCCTGGCACCTACCTATTGAAGGTATAGTTTTTCTGACTATGCCTGACCTCAGCACAGTGATTGTGTGTGATCTTTGCCTAATGCAACATAACTTATTTTAACCTTGCCAAACAAAGCAAAAAGTCTTTCTTAATTTAAAAACCCCTCTTTAAAATTGTGCCTGATTATTGAATGAGCCAAACTACCTAATACTGAATTAGTATAGTCTGTTGTATTTATAATGGGTATAACAGCTCTTTCACTATTCTAAACTTTTGAGATTGTAAAAAGTTTTATTGAATTTAGAAAATATTAATGTAATTGGGACAAGGTAAAGTAAGTGGGGACCTGTGAAACTCAAATAAAAGTATTGGACATTTTGACAGCAACTCTTAAAACATTGTTTACACTCACGTCATTATCAGAAGTGCCACAGATGGAGCAGCATTTGCACTCAATGCACTGCCACCTGTACTTGCGCACTGACACAATCATGTTGGCGGTGAACTGGAGACAAGTAGGGTGACCTGTAACAAATACAGTCAAGCATACAGAACAAGCTTAATAACAAATCTTCTTTAGTTTAATTTCAATTGTTTTCATAACTGATCATTGGCTATCTGACTCTACGTAAACAAAAGTTGAGTTTTTACTATGACAAAAGTAAAAAAGAAACGACAAAGTAAAAGCACCACTATTGTAACTAAAATAAAGATAAATCAATGCTTGAACCACAGTGGTAGCATAGAAGTAAGCACATATGAGGAGACTCTACCTGAGCGTCCACAGTCAGAGCAGGAGACCAGTTCCTCAGGCTGGCCACTCTTCTTGTTAGCCACAGCATCACCCAGACAGAAGTCACAGTAGGGCGATGGTGTGGCCTTCTCCTTGTTCTGCTGCTCCATAGTCAACACCGGCATCGGAGGCAGCTCCTGACAAACATCAACTTCAATTCTTTGTTTTCAAACATCAAGTTCATTTCTGGTGAATTTACCATATCTAGCACATAGGAGACATTTTCCATCACTAGTAAAAATAAAAAAAGTACAGAACGTTTTGGGATCTGGAGTCTGATCCCAAAACATTAGGTAAACTTTGTTTTTTGATAATCATAATGGAAAATGTCCACAGTAATGTCTTGGATGGTAATTTCAGCCCCCAAATGTATAGAAGGATTTAAGCAAAATTATTACTATTTTCCAGCAATGTCAATGTCTTAATTTCATCATTAGGGGCCTAATCTTAACTTTCAGCTCCTAGAATTGAAATTACAATTGGATAAGTACGGGAACTCGCTCAGGACTTTTGGCACCAGCTTCGCACAGAATTTTCTCATCCGTTAATGATAGTGTAGACAGATCCTACTGAGAGGCCGGTCTTCTCACTGATGTGGGCAGTGGTTAAACGCCTGTCAGAGTCAAAACATCTTTCACTTTGGCCACTTGAGCCGAGGTTCGAGCAATCGTCAAGCATCCGATGTGGTTCTCTTCTTCGACGAGTTCCCAGCCTTCCTCAAACATTTTGTGTCGCACAATACTCTTGTGGGGCTTAATACATCATCCCCATAAACCTGTTTAATGAGGGCAAGGGTCTCACACATTTTTCGAGTCAAAAGCAAAAATTCTCTGCGTAGCGTTGATCGATGGTACGCTCCATGTTGGTGCAACAACACTCTGCACAAAAATCGACCTCCTGTCTTAAGGAGTATCTGCAGGCGACTGAACCCAAGTGTTCCTGAATGGTGGGGGACCCCTCTATCTAGCCCGACCGATCGGACCCCCTCCACCGCTCTGTAAAAGCTTCAGTGAACCAGTTCCGATTATTGAATAGGCATACATGAAATTAAAAAATATGTTTCAGATTTAATTTTTAACCCTTTTCCCTTGATAACCCAATATTTTTCAAACTCTGCACATTTTTTGTACAATGTAATAAAACAGCCTACAATATTTTGTTTTATTTAGTAAATCTAAAATTTTATATTTAAGCAATGACAACAATGCTATCCATAAACAATGCTATCAATACCTCAATTTTGTCTATTGGCTTTGGAGACGGAGGGGCCCGTGTAGCAGGTGGCTCCTCAGGGACCACACTAGGCCCCGGGGTCCCTCCCATGGTTGTGTTGCTACGGGTCTGCTTCTTCACTGGGGTGGCTCCTGTTTAACAATAACATGCATGCAGAGTTATACTAACACACATGTCTCAGTCATAATTTATGATCTAACACATACAAAGCATCGTAATTTCAGCGTTCAATCAACACATACATATTTATTCATATCTGCACAAAATGGTTCAATGCTTTGTTTGGTAAAGATAATGTGATTCGCTTGAGCCACACTCTTGGGAAAACGTGCCCATCTATTTTGGACCTACCTTTTGATCCAACCTATTGTATTGATTCAGCTTTCATTTTCTTTTTAGCATGTTGTTCTGACTACTATACAGTTTTCTATGGGATTTTACAGCTTTAGCTCGGTTTGTTTACTAATCTTGTTATGTGTTAGTCTCACCTCAGGATGGGATCTGGAATTTGATCCCATCCTGAGGTGAGACTAACACATAATAGAATTTGTGAAAACTTGTTTTTTACTAATTAATTCTGATTGAAAATATCCCAAATAATCCTTCAAAAACTATGGTTCAATGAATAGCATCAATGTTATGACTAACAAAAACATAATTTCAAACAAAACATAATTGAAAATTGGTAAAGGTACAAAAGTAATATGTTTGATTGTATAAGAAGTAGAATACTCCTATAGGATAAAAATGTGCTTGGTTGCTTAACTCTATAAAAGGTATTGTCATACAGTGGTATCAATACGTAAATTTGACGTACTGATTTTTTTTTCTAGCAAGGTATATAATTATAATGATAAATAAATAAAGTTTGCATATCATAGTTTCATTTAATGTTTTGAGATTTATTCTGCAGGATATATATTCCTTTTACACTTGAATGAATGGTCTTGATGTGAAACTTTCCCGAAAAATATCAGTTACTATCCTTAACATTATTATCCTCTGCATTTTCATCCTGTTGCGAAGCTTGAACAAAGCAACTAGTTAGTTTGGTATAAAATAAATACATTTTCATAATGTAATAAAAAAAGTTCATAAACAAGAAAACTACAATAGTTTACTTATTCTTCATAAGAATAACATAAGAATTGTAAATTTAAAGTTTTTTTAAATTTTCTCCTTAATCAATTAACGCATAACAATGCTTCAATATGCTAAATTATTTGTTTTTTAAGCTCTACAAAATGGTTTGGGAAAAAATCTTTGTTTCTAGATCCAAAGAAATTTTCATAATTCAAAATTAGCCAAAGATCTACAATAAAAACAACACATTCAATTTAATTAATAATTTGTCTGTCCCCGACCCGCGGTGTGACCGTGTGTTTTGTTCAAGCAGGCCTGCATGTCTTAAAGCTTTACGTGTTGTAAATGTATATGTTCCGTGTCGTGTCGTATTCGTGTTACGTGTTTATTTAATTGAACAATGACGAGGCCATCTAATCGGGTGATTAAAAACTTCACTAGTACTCAGCTGATGATGACAATGTGTCGAAACATGTACTGAAGTGAAACTCAGATTCAATGAGCTATTGACATAAGTAATCTGTTCTTAACTATACAAGTTTATTTTTTTACATTTCTTGGACCTTGAAATAAACTGGGAGGCTTGTACACATTAAACTAGGTCAATTTATTTTTTATGTCTCAAAATAGTCTTAAAATCGCTCATTTAGACACATATTTTCTATTTAGGTTTTTTCTTGCTTACGATATTGCAAACATAATTCTTCAATCATCAATATTCTTGTTATGTTTGCCATATAAATTGTATTTTTCAAGTTTCATGTCCAATCAAACTTCTTTAGTTAACAAGAAATTAAAAAAAAATAGGGTTTCTAGTCCCGTTAATACCGGGATTAAAATACACCAATCCCATCATTTCAAGGTATTATAATTCAATCTGGATCCCAGGATGGAGACCCCTATGTACTTCTCAACTTATGTTCTCATTCCATATTCACTCCTGACCCTTGTGCACCTTTCCCATGATGATAAAAATTAAAATTTGCTGTGAAAAATAGTCTTTGAAGTATAGATTTTATCTGCAAAGCTTTGTTGCATTATATGCAATGGTTAGCAGACTTTTTGAGTACCATGTATAAACAAAATTACTGTACTAGAATCGTACAGCTATCCAGTGCCCTATTATATACTCAATTCAATAACTTTCAAAGTGGAATTAACACTCAAACTACATTCATTTAATGAAATATTGGCCTGTGGATCACCAGCATTAATATTAAAGGTTCAAGTCACCTGCCTTAATGTCAGAATGATCCGTTGTAGCGTAAATTACCTACATAACTGTTTTCAGACCAAAAGGTTGTTGAAACCTAAATTAATGTCCAAAATACTCACCCAAGTATGCACCGTTGTCTTGAATAAGTTATACAAATTACCGTTACTGTACTCTAACACACTACACTATAGTTATTTGTGTAACTAGTGGTGAAAGTGGCACTTTGCTGCACATGAGAGCAATGTTTACGCCCGAGCCGCAGGCGAGTGCAGAATGATCTCGAGTGCAGCAAAGGCCTTTTTCACTCGTGTTACACATTATATTTTTCCTACAGTCACTATAAAGCATAAATAATTAGTCTTTCAAACACTATACAACACGTTTTTAGGTTCAGCTGGCAACACAAATGGTGCCCTAGAGAAAGTAATACCCGCGGTCTGTATCACTCCGCTATTTTTCCTCGGCAAGAAATGTGCTCCGCGTTTTGAGAATATAGTTCCGTATGTTTTTGTAATTTGAAGTGGTTTCCGCGCCAAAAAAAAAATGCTTTAAAGGTATTTTCTTGTTTATTCAGTTCATAGGAATGTTTTAAAAACGTTTAAAAGAAAAGTCCAGAAAATTCAGAAATACCGAAACTACAAACACGAAATGACAGGTTAAATCGTAGTTATAGTCAATCAGCTGCTCATAGTATTATTATCTTTAAGTGTTGCCAACCTATTTCCAAGCGTACACGGATTACGTGCATAATAGAACCACGTTGTTTTGTGTTGTTTCGTTGGAATCCTGATGTGCGGCAAAGTATAAACCGTACGACAAAGTATAAACCGTACGGCAAAGTATTAATATGCAGCAATTAGCAGCTTTCTGTACTATAAACAGTACAAGGAAGCCAACTTTGTCGGGTGACTGTAGGAAAAATAGGTTTTAGCGAATTTCCCTACAGGGATACAGCTATTACCGTAGTTGGCACAGTAAGAACTTCGCTCAAGCTGAAAAATAAATTTAACTTAAGTTAAAACCGTTTGCAAAAACAAATAAAAAACACTCGAACGTGAGAACAACAGTTTGGTTTAATACATTTAAGCTTATAGAATTATATATAGTCTTATGCGGTTTGTTGAAGGGGATAGCAGTTTTCATTATGAACTGGACGGTTAACCCCCATGTTAAAGTTATGGCCAGTATACAAAACAAAATTAACTAAGGTGGATTGAGCCACAGACTGAGTGCTGATGTAGGCTTTCTGTCGAACAAGTAAATTTATAACCAAGAATAATCAAATGGACAGTTATTTATTTGTATACTTTAGCTTCTTTTAAGTAAGAGCCTACATAAGCTATCACAGTATCAAAAACTAATGGAAAACATAGAATTGTAGGCAGTAGTAGCGAATTGTATGACAGGCTCATCATCATGATTACAGCTGGTCCATCGTAGCTGGGAATTTCACTTGATTATCAAAAAGTCAAAAAGTCTAGGGAAAAATTAAACCAGGATTTGTTTAAGTGTTTTACTAATCTTATTACTTTTTAATAGATTTAGATAGCCCTTTTCTACTACTTTTATTAGAAACCACAGCTGAAGGAACGGTGGAATGCGACGAACTGTTATCTCCCTCACGTCTCTTAGCCGTTAAATAACACTTGGAAATAAACAAGGTCGTGTTAATAGCGGCTCTCATTTTACGTCGAGCATTGAAGCGCCTGAGTGCCTCGAATGTATCGGAGCGATGAAGCCAAGTTCGTTTGGCCGTTCTGATCTTGACGAACCACGGATGTTGGAGGGCTTGGGCAGCCGTCAGTCGATGTTTGGGTACAACACACAGTAGCTTCTGCATCAGGTCCTTGGCTTCAGGAGTGACGTGACTCCACGTCAGAGAGTCCAAGTAGTAGTCACCTTCTTTGATCAGCTTCTCCAGCTTCCTCTGGTCTTGGTGGTAGAACGGCTGTTGTCCAGTCAGTAGTATGTACATGATGACCCCGCAAGACCAGCAGTCCACGGGTTTGCCGTAGGGTTTCATCTCTAGCACCTCGGGAGCCATGTAGTTCGGAGTACCGGAGAGACCGAAAAACTTATCTTGGTCACCCTCAACCTCCACGGCTAATCCAAAGTCTGCTAGTTTGATAATCTTCTTCTCTTTGCTCTCCAACAGAATATTTTCGGGCTTCAAATCCCTGTGGACCACTCCCATTGTATGGCAGTATTTGATCGCTTCCAACATTTGAAACATACACTTAGCAGCCAACTCCTCGGTGTAGTTACCGTCTCTGGTGACGAGGTCGTCGAACAATTCCCCTCCGGTCACCAGATCGAATAAAAAAACATGAATTTTTTCCAGACTGATGACTTTATGCAATCTAACAATATTTGGGTGATTCAATTTTCTACATACCCGCGCTTCCATTTCCAGTTTCTTCATAGTGTTATCTCGTTTTACCAGTCTCTGTTTATGAATTATTTTAGCAGCGTAGTGCTCTTTTGTCTTGGAATCTTCACATTTATAAACTGTAGCAAAAGCACCTTTTCCTAAGACTTCTTGTATGATGTATCGGTCTTCTATTATTGGAGGTACGTTATTGATATTGACAGGCATAGACAGGCAGAAATAAGTTGATTAAAAAGTAAATTGGGGTAAGATTTAGGAATTTTTTTTAAATTTCGTTGGTTGTCATAGAAAATTGTTATTGTTACAGATACGTTTTTGAGGAATTTGAGCAAAATTCATAACTAAGAGAGACTGAATAAGTTATTATATTTTAATAATAGCGTATAGGCATATACAAAACTCTTTGAATAAAAATTTTGTATTTCATTATTAAATGTAGATCA